TCATTAATTCTGGGTCAAAATAACATCAACCCTAGAGCTTTTTTTGTAGGCTTTTCAAACCAACCCTAGGGCTTTTTTAAGCCCATAATTGGTCTTCTTATGTAGGCATATGTGATTATCCTTGACTAACATAACTAGGCAGCTACTCCATAAATAAATTACCTAACTTACAGATGAAAAAAGATATAAAACTAAGAAAAAGATATGTGATGGTGCATACCTAACTTACAGATGGAAAAAAAATAAATTATCTCTAACAAGAAAATAACATATATAAATCCAATATGCAGATTTCACTGTGAAAATCCTACAAAGCTATGTCACACTCAAAAAATCTAAAGAAATTTAAAAAAGTTTAAGACAAGATACATACCCAATGGTAAATATGAAATATTACAGAAAAAATACTCAAATATAACATCTATGTATCCAAACAAGCAACTGTGCAAGAATATCAAGCAATCAAGCAAGAATGTCGTGCAATCGAGCCAACACTGCCTATCCAAGGAGAAGTAGAAGTAGAGATTAGATGACGAACAAAGACGGCAAACTCTAAGTTGTCGCGGCTGAGGGGAATTTCAGAGGAGTAGAGTCGCAAGAGGGAGACTCGAAGAGGCATCCGAACGCTAGAAGTTTCGAGACGGGAATGGGGAGGCCGATTAGGGTTTTTTTCATTATGTTATATATATATTGAAATATTTTAATTATGCAACTTATATTATACTATTATATAAATATGTAATACTTATATAACTATTACTGAAATATTATTAGTAATAATTTGTTATATATTATGATTTATAGGATTTGATTTTGTAAAATATGATAATTTATTTTTTAGAAAAAATTAATTAATTATAATTTATAATATTTAATTTTATGAATATTTATTATGTATATAAAAATTTATTTATTTTCGAGTCAATTCGAGCCGAACACGAGCGAACAAACTTTTGTTTGTGTTCGGCTCGTTTACATTTCGATCTTAAAAATGTGTTCGTGTTCGGCTCGTTAGGCTTAACGAACAAGCCGAGCATGAGCTACTTATCGAGCCGAACACGAGTTGTTCGCGAAAAACGTGCCAAATTGACAGCCCTCCGTAACTTCAACATAAACTCACCCCGTGAGCAATTAGAAAGGCAATGTCAATTTTAAGAAGGGTTTTAATTGAGCTGAATTGAGTAGAGAGTGTCTTTTTTAGGACTTGATTTGATCGAATCAAAAGTTGTTCATGTTCAATTCACATTTAAGATGAGCTTTCACATATTTGAGCTTTCCAAAGGATAAGTTTGGATCGAACATATAAATGATTTGATGCGGAGAAATGATACGATTATTTTAAAATACACACACACAGATATAT